TATAAGTTGATGTGGGTAAAAGGCCTTCCTTTTAAGATCTCCTTTTTCATGTGGAAGGTGTGGAAAGCTAAATTACCCTTAGATGATTTTATGAGAAGGCTGGGGTATTTCATGCCATCTAAGTGTTGGTGTTGTGCTGCACCTAAGGAGGAATCATTAGTGCATTTATTCTATACATCAAAAGCTACTGAGACAGCATGGAGATACTTCTTACCAAGAGCTGGAATAGCTGTACAAGGTTTGACTTTACATCAGGCAATTACAAGATGCTGGACTGCACCTGTGGTGTCTAGATTGAAGCCAGTTATGCAGGCTCTACCTTCCTGCATAGTTTGGGAGCTATGGAAGAGAATAAATAGCCTAAAATATGGAGAAGTTGTATCAGTGAGCAGAGTAATTTACCAAGTGTCCACACATCTGCAGCACCCTGTACAGATGAGAAAACCTAGCCTACAAGTACCCCACAGATGGTCTAACTTGCTGACAATGATGGAGAACTATACCCCAAGGCTTAAATATGACAAAGTAGTGTGGGAATTTCCTATGGAGGGCTGGATAAAAGTCAATACAGATGGGGCATCAAGAGGGAATCCTGGAAGAAGTTCTATTGGTTTTTGTCTAAGAGATGCATCAGGAGAGGTGAAATATGCAATGGGAAGGGAGATTACTGAAGGATCTAACAATGAAGCAGAAGCTGTAGCAGTTTTAGAGGCATTGAGAATATGCAGGATTCTAAATTATTCTCACATATGGCTGCAGACAGATTCTATGCTGATGAAGAATTCTATTGAGGGAACATGGAAACCACCTTGGTGTATTTTGGAATATGTGGAAGAGATATTGAAGCTTCAGGAGGGGTGCAGGATAAAAGTGTCACATATTTTCAGGGAAGGGAATAAGTTGGCAGATCATTTGGCAAATTATGCACTTGATTATGGCATGATTGACTGCTATAACTTCTGGGAGCTAGATATACAAGGAAGGAGAATAGTGAATGAGGACAAGATGCAATGCCCATATATCAGAGTGAAAGTAGCAGGGCATTAAGAGGAGAGAAGGAGATGCAGGAGGGTCAAGGAGCTATTCTAGGGAATCATCATACTCAAATCTGTATAGAGGAGAGTATGGTGATGCAGTTTTTTGCTAACACTGGTTTCTTTTTTGCAGGTAGGAGCTTGATATCTATGGCATGTCATGTACATCATCTCCTTAGGGTGGTATTAGTATTTCATACTCAGTCCCTAGGAGATGAAGACAAGGCATATATAGATACCTATCTTTGGAGGGTTCTAAAACTATTGAAATTGCCCAGAAAGTCTAAAAGAATTGGGCAAACACATAAACAAGAAGGAAATTGGGATACAAGGAATCAGGCATATGAAGAAAACATGAGAATCAGCTACTGGAATAGCCAAAGGTCCTGCAGATACCATCCCCAAATCCTTATGGAGGAGGGGACTGTTAATGTGGTTTTTGTCTTTCCCTTGAACAAATCTTACTTGGTGGTATCAGTACTTTGTACTCAATCCAAGGAGAGGCATTCAAGGGAAGACACAATACACAGCAGGAGCTATAAATCAAACTTTGAAAGGGCAAAAATTAACATGAACAGAAGAAAAATAATACCAACAACAACAGAAGCAAAGCAAGCAAACACATGTCACGCAGAATTAGCAATCCTATCTATAATCTATGGTCTAAGGAATCCTCAGGTGGTGGTATTAGTACTATGTACTCATTCCATTGGGGTGAACTTAAATCTAGATTATAGTAAGGTAAAAAACAAGGTTACAATGCTGAATACAGAGTCTATAGAATCCAAGTGCAAAGTATCACACAAGATTGCAGGATTTTATTTTTGTACAAACATGACAATGCTGTCAAACATAAAAAACAAGCATGCACAGCTTTTGGGGCTTTTATTTGTACAGTTTGCAGACAGTGAAATCATCAATTTTAGTGATTTTAACTGGATGATGCAAAAGAATAAGGAAATAGATAAGTACAAGGGGTACAGTAATGAAATACATCCAGGTTTTTCTATTACATCAATCTATAAGGGAGGGGAGATTACAAACTCGATTAAAGTTCTCACAGGCAATTCCACTGAGGTACAACAGGGTGTGGTCGACGGTGTCACTGAAGCTTGGCAACATAGAGTCTTCAGAGCAGCTGCAGCTAAACAGGAGTGTCGTCAGGTCCATCTTCGTTTCTCCAAAACGATGCACAATGATCCAGGTACATACAAGCAGATTCAAATAAGAAATGGAGTTAGTCGAGTTGATTTGAGCAAATATGAAGAAGACAGAAGAGAGAAGGAAGAGAGAGGAAGTCGATATTACCTAGGTCGCCTAATTGTGGAAATGAACGGACAAATAGATACAGATGGGAAGTTTTGTGTAATAAAGAGGTGTATAGTGGGTTACACGCGTACATTAGGAAAGTTGAGAGTGCAGAGGTTATATTTGCAAATACAGGGAGAGGGAATTTGGGATTATTGGTGGCTATTTCTGAAAACCGGTAACACTAATGGTCTGGGCTTTGTACAATTACAGGCGGAATTGGGCCTGCATATGCAACGGACTGTTTTAGTATACCCAGTAATGCTGGACTGGGTTTTTATGCAATGGGCAATTATGAGATCAATGTGGTTACATTTGCAATTTGAGGAGATTGGAGACATTACAGTAAGATGTGGCTATTTCTGCAAAGCAGTAGCAATTTTAATTGGGCTGATACAGGGGAGGCTGCTTGTGCAAATCAGTAGCACTCACGCAATGTGGCTTAAATTGCAATTTGCAACAGGTCATGGCTATTTCTGCAATTCATGCGTTTGGGCTGGAGGTGCAATTTGGAGGCTATCGGCGCAAATCCTATGTGTTCTTTTGGGCTGGCCGTGTCTCCTTCTTTGTGGAGTGGGCTGCTGTGATTTATTTTCTTGGACTAGTTTTGATGCATTTTTGAGTAGAATTTTTGTGATATCAATTTTGAGTATAATGCTCAATTTTGATAATAGGTCTTATGTAGAATTATATTTCCTTTTCGTACATCCGTTAGGATTTGATGACACTGTGCTTGTTTTGTTATATTTATAAATAAAAACTAGCCCTAGGCTCTACCTAGTGGATTGCTTAAAAAAATAAATAGGATTCATGAAAAAAAAAACCCAAAAACTGAAAAAACGCTTTGCCTTCTCTCTAGAAAACGGGCGATTTTTGATTTTAGAGAGAGAAAGCGTACGCATTGCCGATATGGCCTCGCCGGCCGATGGCCAGCCTGTTTCTCCGGCTGGTCAGCCTCCCATCGCTCTCGCCCAGCCCCAGACCACCACAAACAACAATCCCCAGCCTTCAGCAAATACCAACGATAAGCAAACCATGAACTATGCAAAAGCAGTGAGTCCTACGTCGACTAAAACACCCACGCATGATCATGCAACTGTTGTGGAGCCAATTGCGCCCAGACGAGCAAAATTTTTCCAAGGCCAACCTCTTGTGTGCTTTACTGAATCAGAAGTCGAGCGTATGAATATTATAGAAGGTTTAAAGTATGCAGTTGTATGTAAATTCTCGTATGGATGGCCTGAAATCAATGAATTGCGACGTATTATTCCAATGCAATGTGGAATCAAGGGTGAATGCAACATTGGGTACTTAAGGGATAGACCTATATTGGTGAGGTTCACATTATGGCAGGATTATGTTAATTTTTCTTCTAAAGGTGTTTATTATGTTAAGGACAAACGATGGGGAGGAATATCAATTGCGTACATTGATATATGATTCTAACTTCAAAAGTTTGGAGAGGAGACCCC